CCTGGTGTGCACGCTGTCGATCGCGCTGCGGGCGTTGTGCCTCAAGGAGCTGGGGTCGATGTTCAACTTCGAGATCGGCATCAAGAGGGCGGGGCACAGGTAGTATTGCTTCAGAAGATAAGAAAATATGTCATGCAAAGAGCACCCTATTCCAAAGCGATGAGTGTGAGGATCTTGTCATGCTGTAAAAATGATACAGAATGGTGTGTGCGGTCTTGATCGCACTGCGTGCGGCATGCGGGGCACGGGTAGTATTGCTTCAGAAGATAAGAAAATATGTCATGCAAAGAGCACCCTATTCCGAAGCGATGAGTGTGAGGATCTTGTCATGCTGTAAAAATGATACAGAATGGTGTGTGCGGTCTTGATCGCACTGCGTGCGGCATGCATCAAGGAGCTGGGATCGATGTTCAACTTTGAGAGCGGGACCATACGGATGGGGCACAGGTGGGGCTGCGATGGGAAAGAAGGGGTAGGGGGAGAGGGGACAGGATTTGAGGGTCCAGGGGTGTAAGTTTTCTGGCACGCTTAACAGGAACAGATCAAAAAGAGGACATCCCCCAGAAGCAAGTGTTCCAAGAGAAGATGATGTGGGGTCTTCAGTGCAACTAGAAGAGCACACAACACACGTGTCATAAAGAGCAAGAAGAGGGGGAGGGGGGACGATTTGTTGCACTTTTAAAGAGCACAGGTCGTGTTGAGGGCATCTCCTTCTCACTGCATGTGTGTGGGCTCATTTCCATGCTGTGAAGAGATAATGTGGAGCCTGGCAGTGAAAGATGACGAGGACATGGCGCAAGCAACGTGAATCGTGAAAAGGGGGCACAGGCAGCAGAAAGGCTGATGCGGGTGCTGTCAGCATGGATTCGTTGCTCGCAGCCCTGTTGCTGTAGTTTGGGCCACCTTCACCCCAACTGTGGGTGGTAGAAAGGCCAGCATTCAGTACAGTGTTGTGAGATTTTGATAAGTTGGATGTCTTGTTTAATGATTTTGACTGATGTGGAACAGCAATGCCTTTGGTTGAGGAGGCAACGTTGTGTGGTCTATCCAAGCTGCATGGTCAACAGCAGAATTCTATCTTGAATTCTTCTTTGCAGATGCTAGGCCATACGCCGAGTATATTGGTGTTGTGTGCAGTGCTGCTAACTGACTCTGTTCCAGCTGGAGACCATTTTCTTTGGGACATCATACTGTGGACATATGTTGTGCATAGTTTTCATACAATGCGAACTACTTCTGTTCGCATTTACCGATGTAAGCATCGTGTGTAATGTGGAAAAGAATCTCGTGAACATCTTGCTCGGGAATCAGGGAGGCCATGCCTTGACTGTGGCAATTCTTGCTCACAGACTGGTGACAACGGGTCCATACACATACATTAGGCATCCCTCCTATGCTGGCTACATAATCGCCTCGCTCACCTTTTTCTATTTTGTGGGGATGCGGAGCTGGATGTGGTGGCTGGTGGAGATCTGCCGTGTCGCTTTGATGAATGGTGAGTGTCGTTCACTTGCTGTAAAACTGCATGTGTTCTAAGCACAGTGCTTTTTGAGGTAGCCTGCAGCAACAGTGCACTGTATGTCAGTGCAGTGCCATAGTTGCATTTCTCGTTTGGGCCATTTGGCTCACGAATGGTTGTCAATGTTGCTGCCAAAAGCCTGGTTGTAGTGATGTGAGGGACTGATGTAGTCATGTAGCGCTTATGAACTCCTTGCAGTGATAGCTTGCATGGTGGTGCCTCTAACCAGTGCATGAGTTTCAGATTAGACGCCATTTTGTTTTCAGACCTTGACATGATGAGGGATTTTTGACTTGTGTATTGGATGGGTTGTGGGCGATTGACGCCAGAGACGACTTTGCCAATATCAATGTAACAACTCCTGCAGGAAGATACCACCTTAGTCAATAGGAAAGCACCCAATGAAAGGCATTCTATTTTGAGGCAAGCCTTGTTGGTGCTCTGTGCATCTGTGCATGCCTCTTTTGGTGTCCCTGCTGAGGCACCAATTCGCTGTTCCATACTGTTGTGGGAACCTATCAGCACAGCTTACAATTAGCCATCCTTTCCTTTGAAATGCGATGCTCATCCCTTTGCACAGCCGCGGAAATATTAATGTGAGACTCCACTGCAAAATGCAGAAGAGAAGAACACTTGAAAAAGGCGAAAAGGGGTCGCCCCTTAATTTTCCCCCATCTAAGGTATTCCTTATGGCTGGCCAGTCCTATCGAGCAACACCAGTGCACATTGTCATATCGGGTGCCTCTATCACTCCCCCAAGGCCACTCGTCAGGCATCCACTTGACGCATGTTCTGACCACCCCATTCACACTTTCCACTATGCTCACCAGCGGCTGTGGCTGGTTGCTCCTATTCAGCACCAGCCTGTACCATAGTATATTCAACCCATCCGCATATTAAATTAACACTTGGCCCTTTTTTGCAGAGACAAATCAACGAGTGGTAATGCAAAATTTGGCATTTTGTCAGGGAGCAACGCGAAAAACTAGAAGTAATGCTCTGAAAAACAAAATGCAGAGTAAAAAGCGCAACAGTAGAACTGTCCGATGTTGATGGGCTGAGTATTCACGGTTGAATCCTAAGGGTGGAATATTTACGGTATGTCCGACTTTCAGCTTGATGGAGGCACCATAGCATCACTTGCCAAGGCAACCCAGCTAGCAGACCACAATGTTTTCCCTAGAGGTCAGTAGTCACTCACTGACATCAACCAGCTACAAGGTGCCGCGGAAATTACATGTCTGGTTGAAATTGGCAGTTGGATATAGTTAATTTCGCATGGGCAGATTGTCAGAAGGTGGCATGGAGTTGTTGTGCGGCCATGCGGTGTTCAGTTGGACAGCATCGAGTTACTCAGCCATGCTTATTCGCTGATTTTTCTGCCTGCTGTTCAGTGTTTCGCATCCCACAAGAGGAGGCAGTCCTGCACCAGAAATTTGGAAAGGAATGGGAGAAGTACTGCAGAAGGACCTGGAGGCTCTTTCCTTTCATTTTCTGATTCCACAGCTGGGTTCGGTAGCCACAGCACGGCCCAAGGTGAGTGTCTGTCTTGCAGGATTGACAGTTCAGCTTTGATTCCCTACTTGTATTATTGTTTACTAAAATACCCCTTGAAAGGCTTTGGCTGTCCAGTATTCACTCACAGCAACGTGCTGCATGACATGGCACCTTTTGGTTGGATTGTTTAAAGGCTGTGTTGATGGTTCATTGATAGCACCATTGCAGCAACCCATTACTTCCTCATGCAGGGCCAACTGTGAACAACGTGTACATTGTGTACAGTCGTCCATGTGTTTATCGGCCATAGGGTATTCGAATGCTCAGGAATATGGCATCAACCCTTTGCACCATACAAATGGTACGGTGGTCCAAGTGACAAAACAACATTACCAGGAGAATGATTGTCCCAACAACAGCAAATGTTGTGAATGATACCCAATTCTTGCTTGCAGGTATTGCACACGCTGGCATGGCTGTTGTTCTGGGAAGGAACTACCCTGAGTATCAAGCACTAAATAGTGATGAATGCAACAGTGCTGTCCAGCAACAACAGCGGGATTATGGGTGGATCCCTGGGGCAATACCGCCGATCATGTTCGGCCTTGTGTTTGCTAAGCAGGTGAGGGGCCAATGGAAGCTGTGCAGGTAGAGTGTCTGCTTTCTTGTTTTCCTACCCTTCTTACTACTTGCCCACAGTGTCTGCTATGTGTACATACTTGCCAACAATCGATTGAGTGTCACGTTCTCCTAATTCTGTTGCAGCTGAAGTGAATCCTGTTGGCAATTATGGTGCAAGTGTGCAAGTCTTGAGAGGAAAGACCCCTCCTGATATTGTTGCTAGTTCGCAAATGGAACAGCCAACGGCATATCAATGTGCAGGCCTGTCCAGTTCTGCAGGCTTTATGGCGACGTGCAGGATCTGATGTGTGTGTTGCTTCGGCCAGGTCAACAAAAGGTGCTAGAGAAACTGATGGTGATGATCCAAACTCAATGGACACACATGCCAGGACTTATTTGTCATGTTCCACTCCGCTTAATGAATGCATTCACGGCTGATCTATAACTCATCGCACAGGAACGCGTTGCCTCCCAACATTTCTGTCCAAAATAGTGCAACTCAGAAGGCAATTTGAACCGATCAAAATATTGGAAAGCTCCTGCATGTAGAACAGCACATGTGTGCACTTTGAGTTGTTGACATCTGCTGTGAACCCCACCATGTTCTATTGGGATGCTAATGTCATATCACAAAAGCATAGGAATGTAGAAGCCCCTGAGAGGGCCAGTTGAATGGCAGTTTTTGAGTATTGTTATCACTTGGCAAATTGCTACCCTGCTGGCAGGTGTGACTGAGGGAGAGGGGCAAGAGTTTTGGTTGGGGGCTTTGTGACGTGCGGATCAGCTGGCCCGCGAACCACTGAGATAGTTTGAAAGGGTAGTGAGGGTAATATGCACCATTTGATAGCTGACAAGACCGAATACAAGCTAGTTGCGATTGACAACAATTGTCAAAGTTGGCAAACCAACGCAGACTCCAGCAAGGGGAGCGTCAACAGCATGTGGCCGATTGCTTTGTTGTACTCAAGTTGCCAGGCATTAGGACAGTTTTTCTGTCGTGTAACCAAGAGTGAAATCTGGGCATTCTGTAAGTGGAGTGGAGGTGTGATGCAGTCCAGGAATATTGCCAAGCTGTATTACCAGCATGTGTGTAGCTGGCTGCTCCTATTCACATTCTGTGGCGTGTTCTTGTAAGGCTGCTCTCTCTGTCAGATGACAAACACAGCTTGTGCTCCTCAGCAACGATCTCGGTGTGTGCTGGACATGGCCAGCACCCAAACTCATGTTGACTCTGACGAGTCTCAAGATCTTTGATGTGCAGTACGTTGTATCATGTTTGCTGCTATGCAGCAGAGTCAGCATCAGTCCCCACAGCAGTCCACGTTCTCATGTGCTGTTGAAAGCAACGAGACTCAAGGCTTTGCTGCGAACAATGGCCACCTGCGTGGACATCTGGTTGCCCAGATTTTGTTGGCTGAGCAGGTCAATTCAGGTATTAGAAATGCACTAGGAATTTGGAAGCATTAGAAATGCACTTGGAATATGTATATATTAGGAATGCACTAGGAATGCATGTATGCTGCACCCAGTGCGACCCAATATGGTGTGAATCTGAAAGTATCTGCAAGGTCCTGAAATTTAACACATGGAATCATTGTCGTGTGGCATTTGGCCAGAAGTTCCATGGTCACTTCTCACCAGTAAGATGACAAGTTCTCAATTGGGCCGAATTGCAGTCTGGTGTCGTTTTGCATTGCAGCGGCGGTGCTTCACAGGCACTGCGTGATGGAAGGGGCAACAGGCTTTCAATCTTGGCCTTTGTTTCCTTTCCACATGTTCAGGTTTGCGTATTGTACTGCGCGGAATCGATGGTGGCCATGTGAATGATGAGCATGATTGAACCGTATGTGTCCTCCCAGAGGCACAGTGTTCGGCAATGTCATAGTTACTCTGACACGTTTTTGAACGGGCTCGAGCAACCACATGGGAAGCTGGCTTTTGTTGCTTTTTTGGTATTGTTTCTTTTTTTCCTTCTTTTTGTCTTTTCTTTACTTCGTTGTGTTATCCAGACCAATCGCATGCACTATCTGCCACTGGATGGGTCCCAATTGCTTGCATTCTTTCTGGTGAGAGTCGGACGAGCCATGCACGAACGGGCACGGCAGTCTGGATTGATTGTCGGTGAAATGGACAATATACGTCACAAGGCCGGAGCACGTCACAGCATGATAAAACCACACCGACGCCCAGGGGCCCGTGCCTTTTGACCAAAACGTTCATAGCCTCACAAAATCTTCAGCTTTGTTCAATTTTTAGTTATCACAGGATTTTCAGTGATGACAGAAACAGGGGCGAGTGGCAGAGTGCATCCCTGGGAAAGGTGGATGCCAGTATCGGTGTTAAACGACAAGGGCGGGTTGCGCCAACATCTTTTTGCCTGTGACCAACCGAAACCCCAGACCAACCAAATGATCTATCAAAGGCGGACCAAAGGACCTCCCGCTGGGCTGCAATCAACTGATGGAAACACCGCTTCGTCAGTGCGCAATGACAGATTCGTTTCAAAGATTAGTCACCTGCCACCAGTTTTATTCATGCTAAGGGAAGACACCATGTCGATTTTGGTACGCTTAGCGTCAAATTGATGCTAAGGGGGTTTGGGGTGCGGGGGGCCAGACCTGTGACGCTAAGAGATTCTGTACTGCCTTTCTGTACAGTTAAACTGTACGCATATGTACAAGTTTAGTGTCTATATCTGGTTGAATTTGATATGTGGAATTCTCCATAATGCAGCAACAGGAGGTTGAGGGATGGGCATTTGTGACATGGCAGTGCTGGTGACTCTCAAGGCCGCCAATACTGCAATGTCGTGGCGGTTCTTGTTCGCAACGGTTGCCCGTCAGAGCGGCGGGTTTCATGGGTCTGCAGCACATGCGCACAATGGCGGAGAATACAGAGAACCCAATGGGCAGTCGCCACCATTCGCCCCATGACATTCTAATCATGTGACAATTGCAAGTCTGTTCGTGCTGGGCGAGCGTCGTTTGCAATATTGCCAATTTTGTGCCGCGTCCTGGCCGCGCTTCCGTCCATTCGCTCTGCTGTTCCCGCCGACGCTTGTCCAGCCTCGCCAGAAAGCGCGTCTGTGCCGATCGACCATGGTCCCCTGCGTCGCCCGGCAGTGCTTGCACAATCCGCAATGGCAATCACTCGAGGTGGCGAATCGCAGTGGCTGTCCCTGTCAGCCCGGCCACTGACGAGAATATATTAGTCCCTTTGTCTTTCCACGAGGGTCCGTTCTTCCGCTGACAAGGTTAACGTGCGTCAGTGGGTCGGTGGTTTAGGGTTTAGGGTGCGAAACAAGATCTTCACGGAAAAGACACAGTGACTAATTTCATGCCGTCATTGACAACAGCATTGCTGCATATTTCTTCAAATTAACATTAGAGCTGCCACAAGGACAAAAAGGTTGAAAATGGCTACTCCCTGCCCCATGCGGCTGGGTGAAACTGAACCGAAATGTGGTTCCATGTATTCTGCAGGGAGCCACCGAGAGTCAAGTCACATGTCTCACATTCCCTTGTCGGTGTGGTGTGCCGATTGACAGCATCAAAAAGGGCAAATTTAGGTTGCAGGCGTTTCTGGTCACTCAAAGTTTGTGAGCCACAAGGCCCTCACCATCCAAGGAATCCGAGTGGCCAAAGCATGGGCAGTTCGTCCAGACATGGAGCAACGAAGCTGATCTGGTCCCAAGGCGTGACAGCAGGGTCATTTGGTCACACCCAACGCCAAATTGACGCCAAGGGGAACATTGGCTGGCCTCAGGTGTCCAGGCTCATGACAAAAGTGAATTTATGATCGGTGCAAATAGGCTTGCGAGAATAAAGTCCAACAATAGACTCCAACAAGCGCTGAGCTCTTGCAGCTGGAATTCCAGATGCAGTGGAATGAATTCATGCAGTGGCATCTGCACAGCCAATACGATGGCTGCAGCACGGCTTTTGATGCATGTTACCAATTGTTATCCTCCGCTCACCTGCCTAGTGGGTGACCATCTTCGGTCACCTGGGAACCCCTTAGTGACAGGGTGCAAAGCCAGAGTTTCGATGTGCTGGCATCCAAGCAAAGACAATGCCATAACCTTGTGAGGATTTATGCATGGAAAGAGGGGGGCCAACCTTAGCGTCAGCTTGACATTAAGCTTGACAAATTCGCCTCAAGTGCTGCCCTTTTGCTTGTGTGTTATGTTCTTGCAAGGTTCTGACTCATCGCAATACAACTCTGATACAGCTACCCTGAATGCATAACCATCGCCATCCAAAGATTCAGAGGTGTGCCATACATTGTTGGCTACGCAGCTGCAGATAACAGAGCAAGCAACAGAACAGGATCACTGGAAACCCATCTTTGCCTGTAATGAGCCCAATCCGTTTTGTTGTGTGTCTTCTTCTGTGGCATACGGATGACTGATACGAACAGATGTTGAGATAGGCTTCTGCGCTGCCATGTCCATGCTGCATACAGGCGTCACGTAGCAACAGCTGGTGAATGTGCCAAAGAGGGTTACCGGTTGAGCCACCAATGCTCCCTGTTCATCGGCATCCACCCAGGATGTCTTCCCAAATTGGCTGCCAGCATGGCAGCTGATAAAACGTACCGCCCAAGCACAAGGTGCAAAAAAAAATCCAGATTCCGATCCACAGCACTTAGAATGTCTTTCAACAGAAAGGAAGCGTGCTGTGCAATGCCCTCAAGGACAGGTTTGCTCGGTTGTGAGCTGAAACATCTGCCCAGCAGGAAGACCAGAGCATTCCTGTTTCTTCAAGTCTGTAAAAGCCAACAGTAAAGAGGGGCTGTCACAAATCGTGCATTTCAACACACTGAATCAGTTTTGAACAACTGTCCTCTACTCTTCTGTACTCAGCTGTACTCTGGCAATGCATCCAGGAAGGATTAAAGGCACCACTCAATGGCGGCAAGGCACAGCATTGTCCATTCACACAAAAACAAACCATTCATGTTGCTTGGGCAGGCCTGCCTCATGGCGTTGGTCTGTTGCTTGGATCGCCCACCATCAAGGGCACACGCACATATCCGGCACTGACAGGTGGAAAGACAGCACAGCGTTGGCGCTGCCCAATCGATGCAGGAGAGGTTCAAAGGCCGCAAAAACTTTCAGAGCAAGTCGTTCCCGCGCCAAGGATCATATTGAGCCCCACAAATAGAATGCCGGTCTTTTGAGAAGGTAAAGAAGCCCAAGCACGAGTCCCAGGGAGGAAAAGGAACAAGCGCAGCGGGGATAGGCACATCAACACACACACACAGATCAAACTTCAGGAAATCGTGAGATCGCGGGCAGGGACAAACTCCGCATCGTGTCCTTCCCCACCCCACTCGCGAGACGGCGGCATTGCCTTCCGTGATACAGAACTCTGCCTCACGCCATTCCCTGTGAGGAGAAGGCCGCGCGTCGTGGGACTCGTTCCTTTCTGTTGTCGCAAAGTATCTTCGACAAGAACGCAGGGCGAGTTCAGAGGCATTCCCCAGCTGGAGAAGGCCGCACATCGTGGGACCCTTTTCTTTCTGTTGTGGCAAAGTGACTTGGGTGCGGTACGCCGTCAAACGCCTGACCACCCAAAGGGCTGGACGCCTCCCTGCGACCAGGCATCCTGCCGTGGACACCACCCAAGACAAAACGAAACAAACAGAACAACACATCAAGGGCGGACAGCCGGTCACCTTCTTGAAGGCCCCGTCCTTCAGCCGGTCGTCCCTCCGCGCCATCACCCGGTCCCACTCGTCCAGCCCCGTGGCCTTGGGCTTGCCGTAGTACAGGTGGTTGGCCAGGTACTGGCTGTTGCCCATCGCCATCAGGGCGCCCACGATGAGGCCGAAGGGCACGGCGGACTCCCACCACGACATGGCTCCGCGGGCTGAACGGGGGCACCAGCAGCGGGTCGACGCTGTGGAAGGGAGCGGGAGGGGGGGTCGCCCTGCTTGGGAGGGGTCTCGCTGCCTTTGCGCGATTGTTGTGGCTTCAGCGAATAGTTATCAAGGCTGAACAGGCAGTTGAGAGAATTTCTATCGGTGAGAAAATATGAATAAACCGTTGGGAGAATAAGAATAGAAGTTTAAGTACGAGTATAAGTATAAGTATGAGTGTCGGGTTGTTCGCGCTATCCGTCCGCGCTCACACACGGTCGCTCCCAGGCACGGGAAGCAAGCCGTAACCAGATGCATTACAAGACAAGCACATTGACCAAATAGGGTTCGCAGGAAAATGTTCCCAACTGTCCAATCACCATTTCCCCCCATATTCACCGTGCCTTGCCCATTGCTCCACCATGTCCGTACACCATATTCCACATTATCATCCCATAACTATACCCCATGACTTCTTCACCCTCACAATGAGTATAAGTTGAGAGAAAAAGTTGAGAGAATATTTGTTAAGTAGACAATTGAGAGAATTTCCAGCAAAAGGAATAGTTGAGAGAACACCTGTGTTCTGTTTCCGGAAAGCAACCTGCCGGTTGGAGTGGGGAAAGGCGGGCGACCCGAGGAGGCAGCTGCATGGCGGGAGCGGAGGCGGGCTTCAGACTCCGCCTCGATTTCGAACCTCGGCTCCAGACGGAGGCCATGAGGATCGGGAGGGAAGGCCGATGCCTGTGGGTGAAGCCCAGTGGCCATCCAACTGGGGATCCTCGCCCTGCACGGCAGCGAAGATCGCGCCCTGGCTCTTGTGAAATTATGACGGGATAGCGGGCTGGCTTTGGCTCCTTTTTGCGGCGATCGAGTGCGTCTCCTGCTTGTGCCTCTTTTAGCTGATCGGTCCACAGTGGTGGCAGTGGTGCGTTCTTGTAGTCATCCCATTGTCATAGAGACCAAGCGGCGCTTGCCGAATTCGCTTTCTTTGCCACTCTCGGCGTAAATCCTTCATCGTGTTCGCCGACGATGTCGAAAAGCACCTAAACACCGTGAAGGCGATGATAACAACGCATGTATCTGCTTTGCATGGTCCCAATCCGCCCAGCATCCCAGGCATGCATTTGCACAAGTTGTTGCTTTTTTGTTGTGATTTTGATGTGTCGCCATCATTATTTTTCCGATACATTGATATGTTCCCTGGCATGCTGATGTGTCAACGAACGTGCACTTTGCTTCACGTTGTGTTCCCTACACCGATTGCAAGGGGCGTATCGGTTCGCTTCAGTTCATTTACACCCTGCTCGCTTTCACTCCTACTCTTCCAGACAAGTCCAGAACACAATGTCTTCTCTAGCATGCCTACACATTCCAGCATCTTGTATGTCTCACAATCCGCTCGGATGGACGGCGATCGGCGTGTTTTTGCTGATCATTGTGGGTAATGTGTAGGCCGCTAGGAACCTGACGGTGTCTGACGACTTGAGTTCAGCAGAGACATGTGACACAACTAACTTGCAGTACTTGGCACTGTCTTAAAGGGTTCATTCATTCACCATCCACTTGCAAATTCGCACCACACCCCAAGGGCTGTCCTGCTGAACTGTTCAACTGAGCGGTGGAAAGGAGCTTTCCATGTACAGACTCTTAGGAGAATGGGAAACACGTTGCCAGCTTCGACGAATGGAATCATAGGATGCATGCTTGAGAAATGCAAGGCCAACTGTGGATGTGCAGAGGACAAGGTGGACGGCCTCAAACTGATTATTCAAGTCCTAACCATAGAATGGCCCAAATTCAAATGAAGCATGAGCTGGTACTCTTGGTCTCCTGTTTTGACAGGTACTGGGTGGATGGTGCAATTCAAACCCCTCGACAGCTGGCGCTGGAGGTGTGGGATTGATGCCGCTTGCTGTGGCAACCTGGCCCCTGGCTGCATGCTTCCAGCTGTGTGCCTGCTGATGGCAGAACCTGTCGACAAGCCGCACTTGTTTTCGAAAAGGCTCTGGAGCCCACTTGACATGGTGTCTTTTGGCAGCAATGCATTGCAAACCATTCCCAACTTTGATCAGCATGACTTGTCCAGACACTTTCTTGGCACATCCTTGCTGGGGATCCCTGCAGTGTGCAATTCACACGTGTGCAGTTTTGCAAAGCATCACTAAAAGCCAACAAGGGGCATTTAGACGACCTTGATCTTTAGCAATTGTAGTTGCAAGCCAGCTGGGTGCCTGACAAGATGCCAAGAAATGCAGTCAAGTTATTATTGTAGCACGTACAATGCTGAACGAAGGTCCATCACCAGCAGAAAAAGTTGCTTCAAGGCCTAGGATGGGATTTGAGCTCACCAATCCACTTGAACCCAGACCTAAACCACATGGCATCTATGGCCGATAATCAACCAATGTCTCCGCTATTGTTGCCACAATCTGGAGGCTGTTAGAATAGCAGTTGACTTACCTGTGTGTATTTGAAGTTGTTGCAAGCCATTCAGTATCTTATGGTCCAGCAGCAAGCGATATGTTAAATATTCTACATTGTGCAATGGGCAATGGGCAGCAAGCTGCCCTATCATGGTCCCAGGCACCCACAAGAGACCCCCGGTGGCAACGACCAGCAAGGAAGATGTTGCTGGCTGAGTGCTGCTGGAATTCATGGGTTATATTTGCCATCATTTGTATCTTGTTATGGTTTTCTTCTTCATGTCTTGTAACAAAGCTTTTTGAAGTGACCCATCACTGCTGAAGGTTTACCCACAGGAGAGAAATGTACAGTACACAAGAATAGTGGCAGAAAAGAGAATCTGTTGGATGGAAAAGTGCTTGTTGCCATCTTCAAGGTGCATAAGGGAGCCGCCTCCATGTGTAACAGTCGCAACCAAAGCACTGGTGGGTCTTGTTATCTGATGTAGTGTTTCTGATGAGCTCGCTGCAGATTGCTGTAACTGGCTGCTGTGTCAATACTGCTGCTTAGTAGCAATGCACAACACGACCACTGTGATTCATCCTGCAGCATGCAAAGATGCGTTCACTCTTTCAGTCCATCAATTGATCGGCGGATTGTGACCTGGCAGGTTCTGTCCGATTTCCACCTCACGTACCCTGCAGAGAGGCTGCACTTTGTGCACTCAGAGAGTGGTCAACCATTTTCGCTCACCAACAAAGGGATCCAAGAAGTTGTGAGTGTGGTCTACCGTGCGGTAAGGAGCGCTGGGGATCTCGTGCAGCATTTTCTCTGTGCCTCGCCTGTACTTGATGCAACAGGAGGAACACATTGTAGAAACGGTTAGTAGCAATCGATCTGGATATTATTTTTGGTTGTCTGGTCGTTGTAATGGCATAGCTTTTACTGGTGTGTATGGAGTGTAGTGTGGTTGGGGACATTGTGTGAAGATGTGTTGCTCAACAGAAAGCGGCATTTAGTATAATGGGCATTCCCAGCTCCTGAGCAGTTGCTTGCTCAAGAGTCTGTTCTTTCTGTGTGGAAGGCGATCCTGTGCGCTTCGTGTCTTGTATGTTGTATATTACGTATTGTTGATAATGTTGTCATTTCAAAATATCGCTGACGTCATTTGTTGATTGTACCTGCGTAACAATTGTATTATATTTTGCCCTTGGTGTACTACCAGAAGAGTTTCCTATTTCAAGGACTGGCTTTCAAAGTGGCTGCAGGGCCTAGCACTCAGCAGTTTGACATGCGATCTGCTTTCTGCTGCAGCAGAGACTCACAAGATGGTGTGTCAGCAGTTGTTGCATTTGATGCATTCAATTCTTTTCACTGTTCGCATTGACAGAGTCGGAGTGCAAGAAGGAAGGCCAAGCGCCGTAGGCTCAGAAGGGAACAGCGGTGTGGCACTTTGAGCAAAGATCTCCAGCGGGCTCGTCCAAAGTAGCATTCAGACTCAGTGCCTTGCAGCTTGAAGACTTTCTAACACACGCACACCAAGGTGCTGCCCTGTCATTTGCCCAGCAATAGCAGTGAATCAGGTGTAGAACATAGTGAGTGTAAAAGCACACTTCAGTTACATGGACGCCTCAAATTCTCCATGCTGGCAGGTGTGCAATCAGCTCAGCATTAGTGAGTCACCTTGCTGCAAGGCTATGTACTGAGTTTCGGCTACTCCCTTGCCATTCCTGTATCAGTCAATTATGATGCTGTTATCCCAGTCGCATATGTGCATCACTGCTGCCACAGCCATTGGGTGCAGTGCAGCAGAAGGTGGCGTTTGTCCTTTTTCAGCAAGTGGCACAGTCGTAGTTTACGGTCATGTTTTATTCCATTTGTGCCTGGAGCATTCTTTTGTCTGCAGTTTTTGTGATGAATGCTTTCTACCTTCAGACCTCCTGGAACAGATTGCTGCATTCCTTCAAATGAGAGCTTGAAGAGTCACATCCAAGTTCAGATTGTATTGGAGCACCACTGCTGAATGTGTATTGACTTGTGAGGGAAAAAAGTAAAAAGAGTAAAAGAGTACAAGTAAAGAGTAACAAAATCAATAAGAGCAAAGGAAGAGTAAAGGAGTAACAGGATTGTTATACCCAACAAGGGCGAACAAATCGGAGTGTGTTGGATGCTGGCAAGGGATTAGAAGATGGTGAATTGTCCAGTTCAGTCGTGACTGGAGGCTGTTTGACACCAGGGGAGCATTCTGGTGTTGAACGATTTGATGGCAGCCAAGGATGAGAATTGAATCAACAAAAGAACAGGATCAGATGGGAATGGCTGCAAGGAATATTGAGGACTGCAGATGTTATTGGAAAGTAGTTGTTGTTTTCTGTTGCTACTTTGCCAATCTTTCGTTACCTTTTAGAGTGTTGCACCATGTGAGTTTTCGTGACCAACCTGTTTCCAAATCTGTGCCCATGGGTATGAATTTGGGCCCATCTTTGACAGCCTCAGCCCGTGATGATGGTCCGGCGGTTTCAGCGACTGAATCTAAAACACACTGTATGCTCCATTGCCCTTGCAGCCATGCATGGTGCCATCTGGTTTGATTCTTTTACAGTTTGACTGTGATTGCACTGCAAAGACTGCAATTTGCTGTGAGCCAAGTTTTGCCCACATGCATTGACTGTTCACCCAACATGAGGCAGGTGCTTGGAGACACCAAGATCCCTTGCAACTTTCATGTTTTCTTCTTCCTTCTACGATGTTCAGTATATTGGGCAGACACTAGCATCTTTCTCGAACCCCAATCCTTGTGGGCTTGCTCACTGAAAATGCACAGACATACAGGCACATAACCTGCCAGGACCACTAGAGCACGATGGATACGATGTTCAGTATTATGGGTGGACACTAGCATCTTTCTCGAACCCCAGTCCTCATGGGCTTGCTCACTCAAAATGCGCATACACACAGGCACATACCCTGTCAGGACCATTAGATCACGATGGACCTACCAATTGGTGGTTTGCAAACCTAGGGATTAACTTGCACAGGACCACGTTGGTGGTTGCCATTCCATGCTCGGGATTTCGAGGTCCTTGCAGACTGCTTGCAAGTTGAATGAGTTCATATGGCCTCAGCGGAAAAACATGCAGTGAACAGTGTGTTCAAGTTGCTGTCCATGTTGCTTCCAGGGCTACATTCACAGACCATTCTAAACCTCATCCTTCTGTGTTTCTCCTGACCCCTCCCAAAGTCATTGGTGTCTGCCGTCGATCACAAAGGTGCATCTTGCCCTTATGCTGTCCCTGCTGCACACATGTATATACATCGTTTGTTTGCTGCCAGTACTACCAGCTCATGGCTTCTATTCCTGCGCAACCAATTGCGGCCAAAAGCAGGTGTCAATGAAGAAGACCAATCGCACATGCCTAGTGGGCAGACGCTTGCTGCCCATATGTGAAGGCTGCTGGATGCAGCTAACGAAGTCGGTACTGTTTTCCATCAACACTTGAAAATGCGCAAGTTAAGAATGCAACCACTGTCAGTGCGTGTTGTAGATGGGTACTGTGCCTAGCAATAATCGAATCAGGGGCAGACAAGCATGTCGAATGTACATGTGCGGGTTATCATCTCATGGTGCAGGTCCTTTGCACTGTCTGGTGAATGTGAATGCAGTCCAAGGCATCACCAGGGATTGCAAGTGGCTCCTGCAGCTCACCTGTTATCTAAATCTGGCTCTCCTGCCTGCTGCAGCTATCTGGGTTCTCCATTGTTGGCCCCCACCCCTGGTGTGCCTGGGCTTCCCTGGCACAGCTGGCCTCCCCATGGTGCTTCCATGGCCCCAGCCTCCCTTCGCTACCCTCCTGGCCACTCCAGTCACCGCCGCACTCCCGCCGCCTCTTCAGCGGAGGCCTAGTGGGACTGGCAGCATCTGTGCCTTCTGTTGTGGCCTGGCCGGGGTCTATTTCGCCTTCCTCAGCCACCTCCCTGCCGTCTTTGACTGCCATTGACCCGAGGTATCTGAGGACCTCTGCAGCGTCCATGTCTGTGAACTCTTTGCCAGAGATGGGATCCTTCTGTGGCAACGAGTCATTGCCGATGCAGAAATCAAGTCAGCTGGTCGTGATGTTCCGCTGTTCGCCTGCCATGAAGTAGGTAGGCAGGTGGCAAGATATCTATATGACAGCAGGTTTGGTTGTGGATGCCCATTGCGAGTTGCGAAGGTGTGGCCTCTGATCCGCACGCACGCGCACACACACATAGCTGCTCCAGGGGGAACCAGACTGAAAGAGGGAAACAACTTTGGTTTCACTGTGGGAGCAGCTGTGGTCGTGGTTCTGTTTCACGTCCGTTGACGCTTTCACTTTCCATACCAGATGGTTCGGGATTGGGTTGTAGTTTCCACTTTAGTTCAGTGACTGGAGGACAAAATTCTCTGACAGCTCAATTGTCTTTTGCCTTGAAAGTTGTCTGGGCACGTTTGGCCGTCATTTTCACTTGCCAGCAAAGCAGAGTTTGGAATAATCATCCAGTGAATTGTCATGATAACCAAATCGAACCATTCCAGAGTGGTCATCTATTCAAAGTATAGCAATGAGCTTGCTTGACAAATCCCACGAGGTCAAGGGTGCGCCCTGTGTATGGGATGCATCCATGCATTACACGTACCTTTTTGTGAAAGGAACGTTGTTGTTTGGCTCATGACCACATTTCTAGTTGTTGGACGTGCCAGGCCCGGTTGGCAAATGGGCGAGATGGCACTGTGCACTCCCATCGCTCTCGCATCATGGCCCACTGGCCAATGCACTTGCCTGAGCTTCCCACTGGGGTATTTGTATTAATGTTGCACAAACAGCTGCACAAGATGGTTTTACAAAAGGATCGACTACGCAGCACTAGATTGTGTGCAGTGTACCAGGTTGTAGATTGCGTGCCACTGCCAGTAACACACCCACCTTCTGGAACTTCCCCTTGATGCCGATGATGGCACACTGCTCCCTCTGTTCCCCCCTCTGGCCATCGCTCCTCCCAGCCACGCCCACCCCCTCTTTCCTCTCTCCCTTCCTTTTCCTAGGCACCATCGCCATGTGCATCGGCTCCGGCACAGCCCCTGCGCCGTCTGCCCCCACTTCCGGCGGGCACCCCAGCCAGTGGCCCCTGGGGTATGCATCTGGCATCTGGTATCCACGGCACATGCCAAACGGCGCCCACGGCTGGCTGTACAATCTCCCAGTGTGGCCGCTGCCGTGATGCGCCCAAAGGTGCTCAAACCCATTCCTGGACCAATTGAACTGTGGACCAAAACCTTCTGCTGGGTGGCCTGGCACCATTGCAGCTCCGTTCGTGACCATGCCTCTTGCATCTTGGAAGGGAGATGCCGCGACACTGCAGCCCAGGCCAGGCATGGGCTGGCCCTGGAATAGGGTTGGAATGCTGTTGGGGTTGAATGCTGAGGGAATGTGGGGTAGGGGTGGAGGCGCTGGGGCGAGCGTGGGGAGGAAGAGGGGGGGCGTGGGGGCTGGCAGGGGGGGGAGGGCGGAGAAGGAGCTGTGCAGGAGGTTGGCGGTGGCCGCCAGCCTGTGGGCCATCAGGTACTCAAAGGGGTTGACCAGAGGTATCCTGGGGGCAGGGAGAAATCCTCAGAGGCGACCTTGTGCGAGAAAAGTGCTCCATCTGCCCAAGGCAGCACTGGTCCAAATTGGCCATGGCTGTCCTTCCCATGTGTCTGTTGTTGCTTGTTCCTTTTCTATTTGTATACTTATCCAGCTATTAGTAGCTACATCTGTCTGAATATCAATGCCAACGTTGCGACGAAGATGAAAGTCGATGTCTATTTATCTAGTTGACAGTAATTTTGAACTGCAGTCAGTAATAAAAACTTATTGACAATAAGTTGCACCCTTTTAGGAAAAGTGTCGCAAGCAAGCGCCACAAAGTACTTAGCCATGCATCCCTTCCCGAACGGCGCCCATTATTGCCAAACAACAGCGCCAACCTCATGAAGTAAGCCAAGCCCTTGCTCAGAGTTTCCTTGAAACCTATCTGGAATTTGCAAAAGACCCAAAGGCGCAGGACGCAGGGACCACAGCCTTGGTTGCAATGGGCTCTTCTCAGTTGCTCCGCTTTGCAACTGTGGTAAATGGTGTAGCCAATGTGAGTGTCTGGTAGACGCAGCACAGTGCACATGACATGCATGTTTGCTTGATTGAGAGTGGCTCAAGCTGTACTGTGGTATATTCAACCCTTCCGTTTCAAGCAATGTACCGTTGCACTTCTTGCTCCACATTTTTTTCTCAGAGCGTCATTTTTGCGTTTTTTACGTTGCTCCGCAAAAATCCTAATAAAAGTGCGTCACTGATTTTATTGTTTTCTCCGCAGCAAAGGGCCAAGCATTACGTTGCTATGCAGAAAGGTCGAACATATAGCAGTAATAAGGCTCTGTCTTTGTGGTAATCCTTCTGTCCTGTGCTGCCGACAGATTTTCAATTGCGACAGCAGATGTGTCCCTGCCAGTTGTGCCAGTCTTGCTATACCCACACACCGATTTTGCAACATTTGCACGCTCGTCCTACTTGAGCCGCATCGCGCTCCTGACCGCGTTGGAGTCCACAATGAGCCTGTTGTCGTTGTCGGGCCCGGGGGCCTTGCTCCACACGCGCACGTCCCTTGGCAGGCACACCACCTCCAGTGTGGCGCCGCCCCTGCGCCTTGGGGACTCGAACAGCAGGTTCAGCGTGGCCCCAAGGTCCCTGTGGGGCCCTGACTCGATTAGCACGGCGTGGAGCTTGTGGAACAGCTCCTCCCGCAGGCCAGCCCTCACGACGTAGTACCAGGGCGTTCGGGGGGCGCCCGAGGGCAAGGGACGCGCCAGCCTGAACGAACACATATAAGGATTAAGTACTTGAGTAACTAACAAAACAATAAGGTAAGTAAATAATTGTGATGAGGGATTATGAGTAAGTAGATAGTTATGGTGATTGAGTAATTCGCTTACTCATTCAGCTGGGGTTCCATTTATTGTTGATTCACTCGTTCGCCCGCTTGAAGCGTTCATGAATTGTACGTGTCAAGCCAGGAGGTGGCCGTTAGATTGCCATTTCAGCCCGAGAGAAGCAGTGCCTGTGATTTGTGCATTGACGTAAAACGAATGACAGATGGAAAAATCCGGAATGCACAAACTCCAAGGGTGCTTGTCGACGAGTGTCGATGATGGCATGGGCTGAGGATTCTGATGTCGGCGCAAGGGCTGGTGCCATGTCATTACCACTGCTATTGATGTGCTATTAATGCATCGCAATTACTGTTGCACGTTTCTGTTTAAACCCATTGATATGGCTTATGCAACGCGCACTCCAAAATGGGCTGAACTCCCTTGATAGGTGTGGTGAAATAAACGGTGGGTCATATTTCGTTGACAACGGGGGAAGTTTTGGCCAGCGTTGCGGGGCAACATCGATTCGGACGCACTTTGCCCCGTTTCGACGGAAAGGTAACGCTGGATGCGGTTGCACCAGAACTGCTTGACAATCGCCGCACTCTGCGGCACAAGTGTTGCGTGATTATCAGCCAGCAGATAGTCTGAGACAAGATGGAGGTAGTTTTTTGGGTCCAGCTGCACCCCGGGGGATGAATTAAAGCAATATTACTTACAAGTCGGCGCAATGCTAAGTCGACGGTCGACCTGCCAACGCATGACGGACAATGCATGTTGTCCTGTCCTCTTCCTGACATTCCAGGCTGTTTAACGCCTAGTTTACCGGGCAGTTGGACTTTTACCCTGGTACCGTTAAGCAATGTGAATGCCCAAGCGATTGCCTACTCATTAGGTGATTGACTTTGGAATTCAGGGGTGTGCGCACAGATTACCAAAACACGATTGTTTGGTGAAAATTACACAGATGAATCTGTACATTTTTGCTACTCAGTTTACCAGCAAAACTGAGTACTACTCAGTACATACTCTTTCAGAAAGATGTGGCAGAAATGATACTGCAAAGTACTGAGCCTTATGCCATTTTCTAAAAGAGGCTAACCCCAAAGACCCAACTGTCAGGTCTGATGTGAGACGTGCATGCTGGCACGGGAAGCGGAAGAATGAATAAATAAGGTCCGGAGAAGCGGCTTGGATGTGTAAATGTCCGCCATCGCCTGCGAGGTGCTTGGGCCTCACTTTCGAAGACAAACTTGAACAAAGATTTTTATCCTGCATATGATAATGAGACAGAGCCAGATTAGAACGCGCCTCTCAGGAGGTCCTGGGATGGAGGGGCGGGCGTGTGTGCTCGCCTGAGACTGGGGACTTGGTTGAGGATCCGGTTCGAGGCCACGATGCGCCGGTCCCTGTGGTGCGCCTCCGGTGGCCGGTACACGCGCGAGCTCTTGGGCAGGAAGAACGACTCGTTGTGGGCGAAGTCATCCTGCGGAGGGTGGGTGGGTGGGTGCACACGTCAGTCCGGGGTTCAGGGTTTAACAGCGAGGCGGCGCCGTCGCAGAAATTGCTTGGAAGTGACGGTGGGGATCGGCGGGGTCAAGGATTGAAGGATTGGTGACACCAAAGGTTGAAGTGAGAGGATCCTATAAGAAGGGGCGGGGTGGGGGGGGAGGGCATGCCTGAAATGAACTGTAGGCAAGGCTCCTCAGGAGGCGTTGCCCTTGAAATGGAGAGAAAATACGAGGTTTTCAGCGTTTCAGCCCGGTGGTGAGGCATAGAGCCTTTCGGGGCCTCAAGGACCCGAGGGAGATCTCCACAGGGGTCAGGATTGGGCGAGGGTTCCACCAGGGGGTGCCCAGCCGCGGTGACTGGAGAGACGGCGGCCTGTCGGATGGGCGCCGATCGGAAAATGCCTTCCACGACGTCCGGGGCAACCAATGCCGGCAGCGAGAACAAAGTTCCAAGTCGGGACGCCGCCCAGGCGAGCTATTTTCGGCGTGCGTGTTCTCAGCGCCGCGCCCTCTGATCGCTTTCGGACCCCAACCGCTTCCCGTTTCGGCACCTGCCGCCCTCGTCGTCACCTCGAACCCGCCGCAACGGCTCGGGCCCCAGTCACCACTTCGTCGAAAATTGCGCCTCCCAATCCCAAGCCTAGTTGAGCGAAACCGCGATCCCTTCCCGCCCCGAATCCAAACCCAATCGCCACGCGTCGCTCGGACAGCTGCCAACCCCACCCCCTTCGCAACATGGAAAAGAGTCGCACGTGCACTTGCCTTGGATGGGGTCCCCACCGTAAGACCTGTCTATCTCTTGGAGTATTACACACCTTACCCCACACCCCGGCTGCTTTCCGCATACACGTCTCCCCTCCCTCCACCTCCTCGGATCACACACCCCCACCCCACCCAACCCTATCCCACCCGCCCCCTCCGTCGGGCCCTCGACGCCAGATCATAGCCCAGGCGGGCCCCATCGGCCCAGCCGCGCACAACACACACCTCCGGGGGCGGCATCTCGTCCAGGGCCGCGCACGCCGCGTGGAATGTCGCGTAGGGCCCGCGCTCCACGGCCGCCACCAGCCCCTCCACGTGCGGGCTGCCCACGTCGGACCTCGACCTCAAGACGAAAAACTGCGGCGGCAGAAACAGAAAAGTACAGAGACAACGGCGCGGGGATTCAGGCTTCGCGGCCGGCGACAGTAATTCCGACATTCGACCTGACCGGGTCTCCCACCCTCCGGATCCCGGACACTCAAAACGGGACACGATCGTGCTACTCCACCCGCCCCTCACCTGCTCTCGGTTTCCCGCCTCGATGGCGCGGCTTCCGTCCCGCCTCCGATCCTGCGCGGGGCGACACAGATTGATCAGCTCTTGATTTCAGTCAGCCCGCGTGGCGCTCACCAATACTTGGCCGACGATCCAATCAACCCGCCCCCCCGTCCAGCCCCCTTCGCACCTGGCCTTCCATCCTCCGCCACCTCTTGCCACAGGTTCTCCCCCTCCGATCGCCTCCGGGCCCGCGGGGTCACACGCTCCAATCCCCCTCCTGACCCCACGGCTCACCCGCATCGCAAGTCCGACCACCGGATACGGATCGCGTCCGCCGTATCGGAAGAAACGATACGCCGCGACGCCCAAAATCGCGCCAATTCGCCCCTGACACGCGTCCGGCTGGGGGGCCCGCGGGGGCCTCACGCGTGGCGCGCCCTGGGCCCCACACTGGCCGCCAACGGCTCGGCCGAAAAACGGGGCCTCCCTGGGCGCCGGGCTTGGTCCCCCGGGGCCGCGCAGCCATGGTCTTCTGTCTTGGGAAGGCCGCAGAGGCGAAGGGGCGGTCGCCAGAAACCCATCCGGCGCTTTGCCGCCCGAAGATGCCGCGGCCGATCGGCGAGCCCCTTGCCGTGAGCATCGGAGGTCCGCGAGGGCTGGGTGGTGGTGGGGAGTGATGCAGGAGGGGTGGGGCGGGCGGCCTGTAACGGCGGGTTGGGCTGGTGCGGCCGGTGCGGGGGTGAGCAGGGGCGGTTTGGGTTGCGGGACGTGTGTTTGGGGCGGCGCGGAGATGTACTAATAGTCGACGACGGCCGAGATGTACTAGTAGTCGATGACGGCGGCGCGGGGCGCTTTGGCGTCATTGCGTTCTGAGCATTTTAGCAGCATTGTGTCTCTATGCTGTAGTAGGAGCTGATCGAGTACTATTAATAGTTGGACGCATTAAGAGGCGATAATGGGAAATGAATCAAGTATGCCGATGAACGGGCTGGGTATGAGGGACAGAATTTCTGCTGTCCCTTTGCCAGGCTGGAAACCGTTGCCGCGTGCCTACGGTCCCCAGTCAGGGGCCGCCACCCCTCGAATTGCCATTGGGGGCCAATAACCAAATCATGCCAGGATTCTTAAGCTTGGGCTGAAAGCCGTGAACTTCGCAATAACGCTTTCCCCCTGAGCCCCAAAGCTAAACTACACACTAGGTACGATTTCAACACATTCGTGCTTTCTACAAGCATACAAATTGCGTTGTATGTTCTGCCCAAAGCAGAAAGCTCTCTGATAGTCAAAGGGAGCTTTCAGCTTCAGCTATCATAGCATTTTAAAGTATTCAGTTGCAACACAAGCTCTTTCCTGGCTGTCTTGAGCACATTAGTACTGCGCACCTTGAATCTCAACAGCAACTCCTGCTTAACTTGCAGCCGAGTCAAATATCAATTTGATATTTCGAAAGTAAAGCCCAATTTTTGTGTGCACTGTCAGCAATTTTGCACATTCACTCATGGAACTTCAGACGCTCAACAGAGTGCGGTCCATTTTCTGGTGCCTGGCTTTTCGTTTGGGTGACCAGAGGAAACCCGTCAGCAGGCCGCTGAGTCTCGGGCCAGTGTCTGCTTCACTGCTTTGTTGCTGGAGCTGCTGGAGTGCTAGGACGTTATTCCTTCGGCGGGGCTTAGAATATGACTCATGAGTCATCTTGATGTGATTGTTCGCTTCAAGAAATGTACATATGCTTGGTCTGCAGTCTTTGAGCAGCATCGCGGGCAGACCAACAGGTTGCGGTAACACCACAAACATGATTACTGATTTCCTCGTCTGCGTACTGATAATTCGGTCCACTTGATTTCGCGAGCCGCCAGTGTAAGAATTTCGGAAATTGGTACGGCTTCCACATCATGCTCAGCATTTCAGACATTTCCAGCTTCGCAAGCGAAGCAGGGTTGCTATTTACGCCGTAAAGAAAGTTCGTATTTACGTTGATGCGCATAAAAAGGCGTAAAAATACGTAAGCGCAACGTCGAAACAGCCCTGTGTACATAAGGACAGCACATACAGCCTTCGGGACTCCGGGGAATGGCATCCAGACGCACTGGAGTGAGCAGAAAACGAATTTCGTTCCACTCCGTCATGGCCCTTGCCGAGTGGGAAGTGGACGCTGTGTTGCGGGCGCTCAAGGGGCCGGAGTACTGATCACCGTACGCAACTTCGAAGCTGCGAGTGGAATTCCATCGTGTAACCTCGGTGTCACAACGAGCCGCAAAAACGGACAAACAGCCATAAAAATAGCACCTTTTGCAAACTTACATTTTGCCACTCGTAGAAACGTAAGCATAACGTAAATAACAAGCCTGAAGCGAAGCGCATGCTCCCAATTGCGAAGTCCGTGGCATATTAGAATTCAGACAATTAATTGACAATCAATATTGACGCCTTGTAGTCGCATTATACACCTGTTACATAGCAAAATAATAAGGTATGGGAGTAATTTATTCCAATTTTCAGGCTTGCTCCATTTGCACCAGCGGCATGTACAATGGGACCATGTATGCGATTGCCCAATAACATATTATCTGATCTACAGTGATGCATTTCAAACACTGGATCGCAGGATTCCCCTGTCTTCAGGCGCGAGGATGTTTTGCACGATGTTGCATATATTGTTGACAGCCTTTTGCAGCGAACGAGAGCGCAGTCCGAAAGCCCATTCTCCAGATGAAATTTTGCACCAAATCCATGGTTAACATAAAAACATTGGACCAATTTTGGCACAGTTTGAACACGGCAGGGAATCGTTCGAAATAGGCAATGTTAAAACACAGAAATACGAACCCTCGGCGCATCACACTAAATCACGTAAATTTAAGAGCACCTCGGCGCATCACAAAAGATTCCGCCTACGCCGGGGCAACGCCACCGTCACCAACTGAACGAAAACAGCCTTCCCTCCAGTCCTTCCTTCTTTTTGCGCGGCGGCCCATCCGCAGCTCAGTGCGGAGGCGCTGCTTTCTGTTGCACTCGCTCGGCACCCCACCTGGGAAGCCTAGCCCCTCACAATCTCGCGAATAAACCGCAGCATCAAATCCCTGCAGCTGCAGTCGTTGCATCCACAACAGACGCCGATCAGCTTCCTGCGCTCGCTGCAGCCTCCGGAACAGGGCTTGCCACTGATCATGTCCTAATCTAACCTCTCATGTAATGGGTCGCAATCCACTGACCTGGCTGGCCGCTATCTTGAGAGCATTGCCAAGAGATGGCTACCTATTGCGTTTGCTCACCCAAGCGGCTCGGAAGCCACCCAACGTTCTCTGTGACTTGCATCCAGATCTCTCCTCTATGCTCGGGGCTCAGCGTTGAAAACGTTGCAACCAATTCCCCTTTCAAAGCCATAGAACATAGCCGCTAGGCCTTCCGCGAATTGTGATTGGAAGTCGCAAACCATTTTACTCTCGTTAACGCCGCTTGGATGTACAACACACAGCAATTGGTGTGCGTGTAAGCCGCACTCGAGATCCCCTCCACGCACAAAGTGCTCATGCCACTGCTACCAGTATCAATCTTTTCCTCAAAACTCTCAACGCATGGCATGTTGCCATTCTTCAACATCCACGGCACAGATATCGCCAATGGCCATTCTCTATATGCCTACCCCTTCGTCGGATGACTTCTGATGGTTCTACTCCTAAGAACAAACAATATATCCTGCAGTATTTCCTTTCTGGGCAAAGCCAAACTATCTAAAGTACCTATTGCATGCTGTACTTGCAGGCGATGATGATATCGCCCCACCTGAATCAATGGGGCATTCCCTCAAATACTTCCCACAGACAGGGTTGAATGAAAGTGCCCGGGGTCCTTCATGAGCTCGTTGCTCGAACTACTGCACCACACACCACACATCACAGTAATTTGTCACCAACGTCCTCCTATAATCGTGGGATGTAAGTCGTGGCAACTACCATCGAAGGGCAACAGCCTTGGGAATCGACCTGCACAGCGACCATGCTGCGCTCGCCGGCGGGGGCTCACAGTCCCGCGATGTTCCTAAGAATCTGGGTATACGGCCACAGTCTCATTGGCAATCACTACCGGCTGCAAATTTTTATGAGAAATAGAGCAATCAAAAGGAGCAGGCTTGGCTTTTACGTTTACGTTTACGTTTTTACTTTTACGTTTTTACGCGTAAAAACGTAAATTTGCAAAAGACCCTATTTTTACGGCTACTTTTACTTTTTTACGGCTCCCTTGGACGCCCATATTACGTGATGAAAGTTGCGTACAATGATCGGTCCTCCGCCATATCCAGCACCCGCAACACAGTGTCCACCCCGCCCTTGGCAAGGGCGATGATGGTGTTTGACAAATACTCGTTTTCTGCCCCTTCCAGGGCGCCTGACTGCCACTCTCCGGACTCCGTAAGTCTGTGTGTACTGTCCTTATGTACACCGGACAGTTTTTACGTTGTATTTACGTATTTTTACGCATTTTTACGCGTAAAAACGTAAAAACTGTTTTTACGCGTAAAAACGTAAATACGATCAGTTTTTACGGCGTAAAAACCAAGCCTGAAAAGGAGGAAGCGCCTACCAAAGGGTTATCCCTTTGTCGATCAGTACTGGCGGTGACGCAAAGGAGAGTGGAAGGGGGTCTGAGGCGGCTGGACTGTCGCAATATTGCACCATTAATGCTAGTACAGATATGTGCAGATGAATCCTGCTCTGCATCCTGCAATGCGGCTTCAAGTGTGCGATTTGTTTCATGCAAACAAACAGCGCTGTACTTGTGTCTTTCATCTGACTAGGTAAATTGAAAAAAAGCACTTTATCAGTGTTGGTGCATGCAAAACTAATTCTCGCAACCAGGCTTGTAATTAACGGCGTGAATGCAGATCCTATCTGCGTTGTTAAATGTAAAATTAATGTGTACGGCTTACGCGCAAAATGAGTAAGAATACGTTTATGGAGGTCGGTCAAGATACGCTGAGATTGCTTGACTCGACGATCATGATCTCAGCGACAAACCAATGCGAACTGCAAGTTGGTCGATATTCCATAGAGCGAGAATGAGAGTGTGCTGTTATACAATAGCTCTGCACAGAGCTACTGATTTGAGGCACAAATTTTTCAAGTGCCCCATGTACTCTCAAAATTATCCTTGGGCAATCGCTTTAAATTCGAAGTTGCAGCGATTTGAAAATGTCAAAAA